TTTTCAAACCCTTTTTGTAACTCATATTTCCTGTATTTTCCAGATTGTAGTCAGTTGAAAAGAATCCTCAAAGTAATAAAAATGAGCTGATATCATTGTACTGCATTTGTTGACTTTCCTTTGTTAAACCTAAAACAACCTGCTCCACTGTTTATATAGTTGTAATTAGGTTATTAAGGAAATTTATTTATATCTGTGCCATCATAAAGTATATCTGCAACATTTAGTAGATGAATGTCACTTGGTCTGATGGATTAATTGACTTACATGAACTGGTCCCACTATCATAGATGAAACGCAATCGAATGTTAATTACCTTGGAGTGTGTATTTCTTCTGATCACTTTTCCTGGTCTTTCCCTCAATCGTGTTAGTTTCCAGGAAGACGTTACGTTTAGCGTTCTACATAAGGAAGTTAAGACGATCTAGTGTCACTCAGTCTATGCCTCCGAAGTTTGTCTATTCTTGTATTCTGCCTATTCTTCTTTACTGCTGCACCACCTCCCCTTAATGTTTCCCCGGGGTACTTGAGAAAAACGTTTTTATACGGCAAAGAGCAATGAAAGCCATCAGTAGGCCGAATAGGGTGTCGCTAAATCAACTCATTAATGCCATTGAAGATACACATATGGACTCATGCAAAAAATTAGCAAGTATTATCATGTCAGACTCTGAGCATCCTCTGTTATTATAAAATTAGATGCAATAATTTATTACGTGAAGAAATTTTGTATATGTACCAGAATACTGTTTAGAATAAAACTGCCACTATTAAAAAGTCAACATCAGTCTCTAATAACGTAAGTGAAATGTCTTTAATACTTGCTAGCACTTCATGAATCCTTAAAAAGGTCTATATGACGGAATCAAAAGATTTCTTTAGAAGATCGTGGAGAACATCCATAAGGACATTGGAAAGAAGAGAACACGAAGTTCAGGAAAAATATCTTTGCGGCGATTTCATTTTCAAAAGCTGTACAATCGTATTCGAATACAAAATTTTATATGGATACAATTCTTGCTTGATTCCACATAATTACAACGGCGAATAAAAGGTGACAATTATTTTCAACTAGATATGGTCTTTTTACGAGAGGCTTAGAAACAAAATTACACAGGATTAGAACGGATAACAAGGGTGTAAAATGAGCATGGAAACAAAATTAAAATAATAATAATTTTAACTTGAAATGGAAGTTAGGAGGTGTAAATAGAGATTACAAGAGCCTTAGAAACATAATTATGCGGGATTATAGCGAATCATGGAAATGTCAAAATGGCTACCCGATAAGTTTTGTCGAAAAGAACATGAAACCTAAACCAAAAAGAAAAGAATGCACTTCAGCGCCAAAGAAAACGCTGTATCTGAATCTGAATGTCACGGGAGGTTTGACAGCCGATATCCTGAAAAGTGGAATATCCAGCTCTTCAAAGAAGACCTTCCCTATAGCAACACTAAGAGTGACATTCTCTAGCCGTCCAATACTTTGAAACAACGCGAAGGACAAACTCTCACAGATGACCAATTCAATGTGCATCTACCAGTTCACCTGCTCGTGTGGAGCTAGGCACATAGGTAGTTGTATGCGCGTCCTTTCAAAACGTGTTAGAGAACATTACCCAGAGTGCCTGCAAAGAGCAGGCACCGGTACAATCAGAAGTGCCATTATTGAACATTTGATCAACACCTCCCCCAACATCTGAACTGATTCTTTCAAAGTGATTTACAAAGTCAACAGAAACCTACCAAAAAGCAGTATGTTTCCAACTTCTCTATACTGCAGAAGCCCTCGTAATATGTATCGAGAAGCCGGAGCTGTGTGTTCAAAAGAAATTAGTCCAACCTCTACAACTACCATGGACCTAGTTCCGCATGTTCTCTTAGCTTCCATTTTTTGTTTTTTCTTCTCTCTGTTTTTTTCTTTTTGAGCTTTTTTCGTTCTCAGTGTGTGTGATTCTTACTCCCTCAGTCTTCATTCGATTCACCCCATTTTTTCAGTTATAAAATTAGTTAGTTTAAGTTTGTTTCCATGCTTTTCCCTGTTCACATTTATAACTTGTTTAAAATAACTATTTTACAATTATATCTTAATCCTGTGCAATTTTTGTGTTTTTAAGGCTCTTGTCATCTATATTTACACCACCTAACTTCCATTTCAAGTTAAAATTATTATTATTTTAATTCTGTTTCTATGCTCATTTTACACCCTTGTTATCCGTTCTAATCCTGTGTAATTTTGTTTCTAAGCCTCTCGTAAAAAGACCATATCTAGTTGAAAATAATTGTCACCTTTTATTCACCGTTGTAATCATGTGGAATCAAGCAAGAATTGTATCCATATAAAATTTTGTATTCGAATACGATTGTACAGCTTTTGAAAATGAAATCGCCGCAAAGATATTTTTCCTGAACTTAGTGCTCTCTTTTTTCATTAGAAGAAGCATAAAGTTTAGGATTTATTAGATTTCCCTAGTTAATATTTATTTGATTGTTTTGTGTAAGAGAAATCCTCAAATTTGTTGATGAACATAGATCGCAATGGTGGTCAAGCTTTAGGTTACTTAGTAAGTGTTCTGTTAAACTAGGTTATTTTCCACCCAACTGATAGCAGTTACTCAGCTCCACAGTTCACTTTGGCTATTATACATTTAATTAGGCGTTGAAGTACCAGGTGAAGTTATTTTAAGCCAGGAAGACCAAGTTACTTGTAGATTATTAATTAAAGTATTTAAGGAATAGTTCTACTCATCTAATGAGTAAGGTTTTAAAATGTTAACTGAAGAAGATAATGACTGACAGCAAGTAGTGTATACCTAAGCGAGTATTTCTTAGCTAGACTGAATAATTTAATGTTTGTAATCTTTAAATTAATGTTCGAAGTTGAAACTAGCTGTTATTGCTCGTATACTAAACCCAAATAATGCATATGCTATTCAGTTTCTCTCCATGTAATTAAGTAGTGCACACAAATCACTTACTAACAGTTAGTCGTTTTATAGATTAGAATTTCTGTAAATATCTACTTCAAAATAATACCTATTGGCACGTGGCTCACGCGTTAAAGTTTCTGTAACAGTTTGGTTGATTTTCTAGGGTAGGGTCTCTAGCTGTAGGCCCAACCCTCCCCTCTTTTCTTGGATTTAGGACCAGCTAGTAAACTTGGCCTTCGCTCTCTATTGAAGATCAAATGGCCAGAGAGAATTAGCAAAATGAAACTCTGGCAACAAACCAACCAAGAACCTATTAGTTACAGCATTTCATCATGAGCTGACATTGGTGAGAGAACCATTGGAAAACCTGCAAGAAGTACTGGACAGCTGTTTCCCCCTTCCTAGTTTGGGACTTTTCGTCAGTACGCATCCACCGCCAGGGTTCGAACCCAAGACCTTCTGGTTACAAGGCGAACTAGCTCGTATACCATTAAGCCACTGGGACCTGATTCAATGGTCTATGAATTCTAACATCTGCCAATTCACGATATAGCGTGACCCCTAGAGCGAATGTCTTCGGTGGCGGGTATTTGTCTTCACACCCGACCTGCTGCACCCTACTGGTCACGACTTCTCACTAGAACCCCAGATAACTACCTATCTGAATAGGGTAAGTCGCTAATGAGCATCTCATTGGTATTCAAGTGTTGGTTTGTAGGGATTTGATTGTTTAACAAATATGCAGGCAGAGATGGAGATGGATGAAACACACACTGAGAAGATCGTTGGATGACATTGAGCGCAATGCAGGCCATCGCCTGTGTAGAACCCAAGTAGGAAACAAGAGGTTGGGCATTGGTTTGAGGGCGACGTATGGGAGGTGATGAGAGCTTAAGAGTAATCGTGAACCCAGCTGAAGAGGACAGCAGAAAATAGAACAAAAATGGAGATGTGTTGCTGAAGCCCTTCCTATTTTCCACTCGGAACCCAAGGGAACAACAATAATAATAATAATAGCACACAGCTCAGCAAACAGTTGACGAGTAGCTTAACACTTAATTTATTAAAGATGACAGCAGTCTACCAGTGAGGTTTACAGTACGATCACAAAATGAATCAACTGTAATTTGATAACCTGTAGAGCTTAGAAATAAATAAATAATACAAACTTGGATTTTTGAGAGAATAAAAAGAATTTGTTTTTTAATTCAACATTAACACTTTTCTGTTTAGTGTCTACAAGCCTACAGCCTAGGTCGAGCACAACTTTTTCTGACTAATTTTAAAGGTGTTAAAACTTTCTGGAATAGAATTAGTACATCGGACTATATATATTCATATGTATATATACATAATTATCTAACGTATAAACAGCTGATGATTTGAGCACATTAAGTTGATTTATTAATCGACAAATTATTATCAAAAATAATATTTCTAATTCTTTTGAAATATGAGAATAAATCATTCTGTATCTTAGATCAACTTTTGAAAGAGTATTTAACGCATCAGAATAGAAAACTGTCTTCACTAATGGCAATAATAATAATAATAATGATAATAATAATAATGGAAAGGAGAAGAATGAGAGTTCGAAATCAAGTTATACTCTAGTGTCCTGATATCAATATTATTTATTGAAAGACTAATATATAATTATTCATTATTATTGCACTTTTGTGAATATGGCATATAAAGACTCGAGTTCATAGAAGAGAAATAAATATTTATTATTATTGTTCAGCTGATTAATGAACTTTTTTTTTACTTTATAGTATTGAACGAACTATCGTGCAAACACTCAGGCATACACACACACAGACACACAAACACAAAGGCACTTAAACAATGAATAACACACGTATTTGTACAGTACTTTTGAATTATACTACTGAAATTTGTTACTTCATACCTTATTGTTTTTCTTCAAGTCATTTAATGAGTAGTTGTCAATTGATGAAAGGAATTAACCAATCGAAAATCAGTTAATTGAAAAAGCTTTCTTTAGAGTTTTCTTTTTATCTATCTACTTTTTAAGAAACAATAAAACAAATAAGTAGTTCACATTTTACTGACTAGTTGAGTGATTTTTAGTAGGAATATTTTACGTACTGTATTTTTATTTTGTCTCCTCGTTTGAATACATCATCAGTTGGATTTATAACAATAGCAATAATAATAGTAATATTATTAGTCTGTCAAGAAAAATACAACGCAGATACACACATGTCATCATCATCATCCCTATCCCCATCACCATCACCATCATCAAAGTGATACTGTTTCATCTTTTAAAATTAACTCAAAACGAATAAAATCACCTTTGAATGCATTACAATAAGTGAGTTTAACACAAAGCTTTGTTTTGAGGGGAGAAAAAGATTCTCTAATATATTTTTAAAATTTTTATGTTGCATAAACTTTTGTTTAATATCGGATGTTAGAAAACAGTTGACTGTATGTGCCTTTTTATTCGTCAGCTTAATTGTAAAGGTGAAAACATTGCAGCGATAATCAACAGAAGGCTGAGTACATCACTAGCCATAGCTTAGCCTGTAGCTAAGCTCGTTCCCGTCTATCGAACAACTTGCTTTTCGGTGCAATCAAAAAATCGATAGATATCCTTCTCATGTTAACTTTAACTGTATATACAAATTTACATGTATCTGCAGGAGCAGTTGCATTGGAAGGACAGAAAGAAGGGCATATCTACGATTTTCTGAACATGTACCAAAAAGCTTATGTCTAAAGGGAACAAATGCTGTAAACAGTGCCATCGCCAGGCATCTTCTTAACGCGGGTCATGAGGTGGACGTCAAAAATTCGTTCAAAATTATCAATAGGCAAAAGAGTTCAGTTCTCCTCAAGTTTGCTGGAGCCATTTCCATCAAGCGCATGAAACCTGATTTATGCGTCCAGAAAGAAGTTGTTATCAGTCTTTCTTTGCCTTGTCTGGTAACTGGATATTTTCATCTCTCTTTCATCAGAATGCGAAATGCTGAAAAGTTTCCATTGTGTATGATTATTATTGTTCGGAATAGTGTTTAATATTGCATATATATATATTATTAGTGTGTGCATATATTGATAGATTGATTTTTGTTTAAAATGAACTCCGTGCAAGTATGTTAAAATTGTTTTTGTAGATATTTTTACGAGTTGATCACGGATTGATATCAGTTAGAGAACCACTGAGAACTAGGGAGTACTGGACAGCTGCTGTTTCAACCTAGTTTGGGAGTTATCGGTAGTACTCACCCACTGTAACCAACCTGACAGAACTGTCTTCTTGCTCATGAAGGAACGTTGTGAAGATTATACTTTAGTGTTAGCGATTTCTACTTGTAATTTGCATAATATCTTATGATTAACATTTATTCCTGTGAAATGTGAAGTATCACAGTTATCATGTTAATAAAGCGTGTGACTACGTTGAATTGTATATTATTCAAACTATATTAATTCTCCTAACTTAGTATTAACTAATCAGAAATAAGTTTCTTTCCAAGCAAAGCTGCAAACGATTTATTATCCTTACGGTTATGCTACAGTTAGATATCGTGTCAACATTTATGTCATGAAATCTGGAACACCGTTTATTGGATATCGGTCTGGTGTAATACCAAATCTAATGGGCCCAGACACACACATGGTACAGTCCAGACACCAAAAGGAATATGTGAGCTTGCCAAACCATATGTTGAATACACAATACACCATTGCAAATACGAACGGGATTCAGACTGATAGGCATCCGATCTTAATGTTTAAGATGGTAGCTTTTCAATATTGGCTATTCAGCCAAGAATACAAATATATATAAATATATATTTAGAACAACACATTTAAGCGACCAATATTGTTTTCAATTAGATCTCATCAAGCTTAACTCTAATATATATATAAGTTTACAAATAAAAATTCAAATATAAACCAATCATGGGTTTTGTCTATAGGATAATACGATGGTGAATATAAATTGCGCAATTAGTCATAATGGTAGTAATAATAATAATAATGGTCTTATCAATAATAAGGATGAAAAAAATGAGGCAATCTGTGATAACACGAATAATGAAAAACAGTATGATTAAACAAACAGTTGTTCAGGTGGAAGTAGTCGACAAAGGCTAGTAAAAACAAATGAACCTATTAAGTAATGTTAGATTGTAAGGGAAGGAAATGAAACACGTTTATAATGAAGATAAGATTAAGGAATGATAAGAAAGGGTTGGAAATATAAATAAGGGGTGGTGTAGAAGTCTGTACCTTTGTCTCTCCCTCGCTTAGCTTAGGTGAATTCTATTCAAAACCCTCCCACCCTTTCTTATTTTCCATCTCCTTCGCATATTTATGATATTTATTTAAACTCTGATTATCTGTCCACTTCACCTTTAGCATTGCGTAACTTTTAAGATTTGACCTAATTTATTTATTTATTGAATTGTCTACATATACACATATTACTATTCTTGTTATTCTTATCGTCACCTGCATAAACCTTATTATCAATATTTGGTTGTTATTATTATAATCATGGTTATTAACTACTTTCAAAACATTTACCACATTATTATTTGTTTTACAAAATCACTGTCATTGGTTAAAACTGTTATATATAAATCTATTTAATTTAGAGTAAGGCCTGATGAAGATCTAATTGAAAACAATATCGTTCGCTTATATGTCTTGTTCTTATATTAAAAATGGGAATATTTAAAGATTTCTTAATCACTGTCTGAATTCCACTTCACAATCATAAGAAGAGTTGGTATGGAAGGATTAGAAAGCGAAGTCATTATGAACACTGGGTTACAAAAAAATCCGTTATCTGTGTGGAAACTCTTATTACATCTTTTGCTTTGCACCCTGAAAATAATATTAAAAAATATCTATAGGACACATTTTCATGGTCTTTATGCATACTGGAAATCAAAATCAAGTAAGCTCTGCTTATAGTCCTGTTATAGACCACTGTAAACACAGCAGTAAATTTATATCACAAGTAATAGCCAATCAATCACTGTAATGGATACTTTATGTTCTTCATCTGTTATTTCTGTCGGAAGCTACTATACATTTCAATAGAATCAATATCACTGTTCAATGCTTGTAGTATGCACATGAAAAATTAATATAAAACAGCTTCTTCATTTTACACTTCTAATACTTATGAATGATCTGTTTTGGAAATTGAACAAATCGAATCAGAGCTGAAGTTGAATATTCCACCTACTTATCTGTTAGTAGACCCTGTAATTTTCACTAACTCAAGGAATGTCATGACGAATTCCTTAACTTTTTACATTTTTTATACGCACAATACATAAATAATTCGGGGTGGTTTGAACTAATTCGGCTCTACAGGCTAAGTCAAACGGGGTACACTACTGACTGGCTTGACCTCAAACGACCAAAATGGCTGCCCAGTATTTTAGATTATTTTTATCTGGCTAAATAGCAAGCACTACTAGTTTGTGTCAGTAGCATATAGTTTTACGCATTTACCTTCTTGATTTCTCTTTATAGTATCAAGCAGATCCCATATTGAGATCTAAACAAAACTGCCGCTTCCAAAGGAAACTGTAGTGAAATTTCACCTCCTCGAAATGTGTCAACTGGAAGTGGCCAAATAATTTGCGACCTGCAAGTGTGTTTCTATACGTAAAAGATCGTTTTTAAAAGTGCATAGCGTATGAGTAAATTCAAGTTTGGCACAAAGCTGTTTTCATTCCAGCTTTGTTCATCAACCATAGATATCAATCTGCCAGACTTACGCTACTTCAGATGATCTAATCAAGAGCATTGAATATCACAGTTTTTTAACAGTACCATAGATTTCAAATCATGTAAATTCTTAATGACCGTCTCCAATGGCAACATTTTTATACTTCAGCTGAAGTAGAATGAATCCATGTTATAATTATTCATACTGTGTTCCAACCTTCCTCAGAACAATTCATAGGAAATAAAAGGTCGGGATACTCGGTTTTGAATTTTTGAAAGAAGTTGGGATCCAATTTCCTCGGAATATTCTACTGAACTCACTGACTTTACTGTTTGCAAACATTCAATCCACACTTTTTGACTATTTATCTCAAACACTGATTTCGCTTCATTCATATCATCTTCATCAGTTTCAGTTGTAGAAGATCTGCATTTTTAATTATAGTTATTATTACGAGTTGATTTGAACGCATTTTGAATTAACTCACGTCTTAAAGCCAGACTACATGACTACTACTGTATCGACAGGTATAACAACACGCCTTGGATTTGTGTCATTATTATTTTCCTGAGTTACAGATAACTTTAAAGATTCTTGTGAATTCAAATTTGAAAATCAAATATATGGTGATAATGCTGATGACTGAGGTTGAAATCTTGTATGAAAATTATTTCCATTTGGTGAATATGACTTTCAAGTATTAGTTTTGTAGGGATTGTGTTTGATTGCATGGAGGATTTCATCATGAGCTGACATTATTCAGAGAACCATTGGAAAACCTGCAAGGAGTATTGGACAGCTGTTTCGTTCTAGTTTGGGACTCTCCAGCAGTACGCACCCACCGCCAGGGTTCGAATCTAGGACCTACTGGTTACAAGGCGAGCTCGTAGACCATCTGATGCTCACTAGCGACTGGCCCTATTCAGGCAGTTAACCTGGGGTTCTAGTGGGAAGCCGTGACCAGTAGGGTACAGCAGGTCGAAGATGAAGCAGTAACTCATCGAAGAAGACATTTCGAAATGGTCGCGCTGTGTCATGAATTGGCAGAAGTTAGAATTCAAGGACCATTGGATCAGGTCCCAGTGGGTCAATGGTCTACTAAGTCGCTTGTCTTGTAACCAGAAGGTCCTAGGTTCGAACTCTGGCGGTGGGTGCGTACTGATGAAGAGTCCCAAACCAAGACAAAACAGCTGTCTAGTACTTCCAGGTTTTCCACTGGTTCTCTAACTAATGTCATCTCATGATGAAATCCTCCATAGAATATGATTTTGACTTATTTTTGCTCAGAAATTCATATTCATCAATACTTTTATTTAAGTGTGCTCGATGAATGAATGAAGGTAATCCTTGTAATGAATTCTCACTACGTACTTCAGTTTCACGACCGATGGGGAATACTCGATTTAAAGTTGAAGTACCTAGACTAGCTACTTCTGATTGTATCTGCCAATTGAAGTGCGCTTGTGTAGCGAGTTAAACTGGCCGTTGCTCAAGGAACTTGATTTTTCATACTCACTTGGGAACGTCTACCAGCGTTGCTAAGTAAAGGTGTAGTAAAAGCCATTAACAATTCCATATTAGACTACCTGGTCCAAACTGGCTACAAATCCAGA